GAGGAGGTTGATTTGAACAGAAAGACATTATTTGGTCAAGATCAAATACCTTTGGCTACAAGCCCTATATTTATATTTGTTCAAAACAAAACTTTGTGCAACAAATTCGATAATCCTCAGATATCTAAAGAAGAATATTGACTTACGCAGATGGTGAGGTTCCTAGATTGGTCGGTTCATCGATAGATCCTTTGGAGTCGACACCTTCATCCAAACTTATACCGTCAATACTGCTGGGAGGAGACTTCTCAAGTACATGGTGATGATCCATGAAGTCTTAAATGAAGGAAATATAATAAGCTACTTCTTCAAGAAAACAATTCGCGCAATATTAAACAGTCACACCTTTGCTCAGGGAAATACCCAGGACTAAGGAAAGTTACCTCTTGACTTGGGTAGAAAATACAAAAGTGATGTGTGCACTTGTTCCAGGTAAGACCAAAGTTTGAGTCCCCTTAAAGGAAACGTCCCACAAGAATTGTTCTACTGTTTTTAGTCGTAAGCGAAATACTTTGGCACGATCTACGGTACAAGAAAACTTTGGAGATTATTTAACGGTTTGGTATCTTTTTCAACAGTACCACAGGCTTACTGGTAATACCGGTGAACACAAACACATCAGGTCTACTTTCATGGAAACAGACTAACGAGTCGCTCGCCGTATTTTCTCAGTGTACATCGTATCCCTAACAGAGAGTTTCGTTGCCAGGCATAGTGATAGTAATAGTAAACTACAGAGCGACTGTGATAGATTAGCTTCATACACTCCACCATTTGATAGGTATTGAGAACTGTGAATAAAACATTGCATTAGTCTATAATTAGCAACTATTAGGGTGCAAAAGACGTTTCCTTTTGCAAATACAGTCTCTCGAGGTTTCTTAGACGGCAATAAACCGTAAAAAGCAATTTTAAGTGACAATTTTGTTTTAGAAACGGTGGGGTAAGTCAGAGAGAACATCAATGTGCACCGATGATCAGGGTGTCAGGAGTAACGTGACAAGAAAACGATAGATGGATTGCATGACGAGTTAGCAGAGACGACATTCAGAAAAACGCGAAAGTGATTTTGGTAAGAAATTCTTCTCTACAAAAGTGGAAGGGACAGTGAGGATTGTAACGCGTTACAAGAGCTGAGATTGCGTGATACAAATGTTAGGTTGCGTGAAAATGAAAAACGTGAAAGTACCTGTCTTGTGAACGAGAAACTCATGCGCAGGAGGTAAACGCGACTCTTTGAACCCAGTTAGATCTGTCTCTTTGGGTGGCTCGGCCACGTGCTTGGTTTGTTCGACAATCCTCTTAGGCGGGGCGCCACTGATGTACAAAGTTCCTGACGAGTGGCTTATTTCCCCTGGTGCCAAGGACTTGGCGTTGTAATTCGAAATTTCTTTGGACACTTCTGTCGCTGACAAGCAAGCAAGGCCAGGCATGGGGATTATATGGCCCTTGATATTTTGATGTGGCGGAGGACGCACATTATCAGGTTGGAGCATATCGCTAAGGAGGGCGATTTTCGAACGCACATTTCCCCTCTCTGGCAGCGTTTCAGAATCCTGGATCGTTTTTCGCCCTTCTAAATCGAAAAAGTCTTCGACGTCGGCTAGTTTATCATCATTGTTATTGAAATCAAAGGTTTTAGGACCTCGTGTCTGCTGACCAAGACTAGAAGTCGTCCTTTGGCTGGCGACGGAAACATCTTCATTCCTACCAGCACCGTCAACATGGTCACCGCTGTTTGGAACAAAGTTGTATCCCACAGTGGTATGAGAAACTGTTTTAGCTTTTAACGTCCTTGGCATTATTTCAGTGGTGGCGAAAAATGTTGGCGACGTTGGAGACATGGCAGGTGACACTTTAGACAAAGGCGCGTCGTGTAAGACAACCGAAAGCGCCTCCCCGTCAGAATATCCATTCGACATCTGCCCAGTTTTAACATTGCCATTCCACGAGCTATTTTGTGAATATGGCGGCGGTTTGATAGGGACTCGTGTATGCGTTGCTCCAAAAGAGGGTCCGTTACTTTGGTTGTACCTTACAGCACTGATCCCATTTGGAAGCAGCGGTTCTCCTAATAAGCCACTCCTACTGTAACGCTCACCAACTTCAAAACTCGCCTTTTGGCGCACAGGAGGACCAGGAGGAATAACAGACCTCGATCCTCCGTTGACCACAGGAATACCTGATGACTGCACGCCTCTCGACCCGGATCCAGCCTGTCGTAAAGTTGAATCCAAAATTTCTGAACATTCCCCCAGCTCTTGCAGAAGCCTATCAAACGATTTCATCTCCCTATTCCGGCCGTCCTCACTCGAATGCTGCATTTTGCTGCTATTGTTGTGCTGAAGACTGGGTTGTGTCAGTCCAAAATCCTCATTTTCTTTGCTTCTAAATCCGTACGCTTTTTTTCGATTCAAAGTGTTTGCTCTGTTTTCAAAGAAGTTCAACTGTTCCGCTCCTCTTGACCGGGCACCACTATCCAAGCTCATGGATCGCACTTTCTTCTTGAGTGCTTTGTCCACTTGGGCGTACAAGTGGCCATTCACCGGACCAGGTACGTACTCAGGGGGACCTTCACCAAAATAAGACATCTTTTAGTAACTGAAGCATAGCAAAAATTTCACACCACCTACCCCTCCCCAAACTCGGCATCAACCCTAACTTATTATTAGTCGACTGTTTTTTGGTTAGGGGAGGGGTGGGTGGGCAGTCGCTCAGAATCTGACATTGATCCAAAATTTCATAGACAAAGATTCTCAGAGACCACTTTGAAAAACACAAAACACACACACACAATACTGGATGAAAGCTTTCATTAGAATGGCCACACATAAATGTTTTAACCGCAAATTAAAAAAGTTAGCCTCACCTTGTGCAATATATACAAACATAAAAGTAACAAATGAAAGGACTGCTGAGTTGTTTTCATCTGCATGCACAATCCACATATTTTAAATGTAAAGGCAATTGGTAAGGCCGCCATAACACTTCTAACGGAATTGCACACATATTTCTTTTATCCATTTCAAAAGAAGGCAACTTGAAGTTTACGAATGAATCTATTATTTCAGTTGTGAATAAATTCTTACAAACGTCTCTAAGTTTTACAAACAACAGAACGCTTTTATTTGTTTTTTTTGGGGTAAATGGCCGGTTCTTTTGCCAAAGAAACATAAGCAATTCTTCATAAGCAATTCTTCATCGCATGTCAAAGACTTCAAGGACGAACGACCCACAAGAGACAATTGTGGCCAATAAAATATTGACTACGTGTAATTGAGATAAGATCTTGAGACAGATAGCGATACTCTAATCAAAAATTGGATCGTGACTTACAAATACGTGAGTTCCTTATCGTTATAACTGCCACAGCTATTAGCACTAATTGAGAATGAATCCGTAGATATTTAAGGGAAAATCTTAACTCGATAACAGCATTTCAGTGACCCCCTAACGTCCCGAAGGAAAACGTTATATGTACAACAGTATTTTCAAAAGGTATTTTAAATAATCCAAACTCTCCACGTTCAAGGTCTATTGGATGTATTTCGCTCACATATCAGCACAACAAATGCAAAACAGAGGTCTTAAATGACTTACAAATACGCGAGTTCCTTATCGTTATAACTGTCACAGCTATTGGCACTAATTGAGATTGAATCCGGAATAATATTGGCAGAAAGAGAGAAGCAGATTCCGCAGATTTTTCGCGGTATGCGTAGATACTTGAGGGAAAAATCTTAACTCGATAACAGCATTTCAGTGACCCCCTCACGTCCCGAAGGAAAACGTTATACGTACTAAGGTATTTTCAAAAGGTATTTTAAATAATCCAAACTCCCCACGTTCAAGGTCCATTGGATGTAATTCACTCAAATATCAGCATAACGAATGCAAAACAGAGGTCTCTAACAATTCTTTAAAATAAAAAATAAAAAGTAAACTATAAAGAGAACGACAAACGAGTAACTCGTAAAATCAGTCGTCCTCTGAGCTTTCCTGTATCTTGAAATATTTTTCGCAAACAAGTAATAGAATTGACTGCACTCTGAGTTCACAACATAGTTTTGAACAGCATATTTAAGAGTAAAATCCGTCTTTAGTTATAATTCCGGAAATCGCCTTAAACTTTCTCCAGGGTCGCACGCTACGTGATTGCTTTCCTTGGCCCAACATCAAGTAAAAAAAAAAATTCACTCAATTAATCAATTAAAGATTACAGAAAAAAACCACTTGTAGTCGTTGATTCTAATACATTCCTTATACACCGTAGTTTTGAGAATTTGGTGATAGGTCAGCAATATTCTGCAGTTAGTATTCATCGTAGTTTGTCTCCTTGAATATATGTTCATGGACTGCCAAAAAAATGTATTAAAAAAGCATCCTATAGGTGTTGCGATGAGATTTTTGCCTCTTATGCCTCTCGTACAGTCAAAGTTCAAGAGTGGGTAGCGAAGAACTTCGTGATAATTTAAGAAAATTGCGAACACTCCTCAGTCATAACACTGCAATCATTCTCAATAACGATCGGAAGGGGATCAAAATAACGGCCGAAGCGAAGGATGAAGAGCTTAAAGCTCTCCCTCTCCCTTCCCCGCCCCTCCCCTCCGGGGACTTTGACCAAGTGTTCATGAACGCGGCACTAACGCAGAATAATGTCTCAGTTTTAATGTCAATTTAATCAAACCTTGTCAATCAACAGATCAAAATACCATTTATTCCAAATAAATAAAATGATATTCGTGTGGTGTGTGTTGTGAGAATTGAAAGCTACCTAAAGGAAGTGAGCCCAGTTTAACTGATCAGTTTAGTAATTCTCATCACTTGTCCACTTGAGAATTTACTGGTTAATGTTATTTTCTACCATAAAATGAACCAAAAGGTCAAACCACCCAGACGTCTTGGTGTTTATTGACATTTTTTAAAATCTATAATTAGTCAAAAGAAAAACAAACACTTCGAATGCCCTTGAGCGATCAAAATTAATAACTGGTGACAATTCTGCACCTTTTAAAAATTTCTGGATGTTCACTCAAACGTGATGTTAACAGTGACAGTTATGGCCGAAACAAAAAGGCTTGCTATAGAAATATCTCGGGTAATCTACACTAAAAAAATTCCAAAATGCTATTGTAACCTTATTATCTGAGGAAACAAGAGACGAGTCAAGTAAACACATTCCACAAAATATTTCCTCGAAAGATTGTCCGCATTACACAATGGTACGTAACTGCCTATACGTTTTGGCTATTTCAAATATTCCAATTGCATAGTGATAGAGTTTCCATTTAACGGAAATATCTCTGTCCATGTTTTCTTTTTCGATAACGACAGATCAAAAGAATCCCACTTTCACAGCAGGAAAGTTTAAAAGTAAAACGCTTGGAGTTGCTCAGATACAATTGAATAATTCCACAAGATCGCGCCCCAAGGTCAAATGAGTTTTCGTGTAATTACTGTTGTTTGAGAAAATAACTATGAAAACAATAAAATCAAGGAGTTGGGCCAGAGCTCTGAGGTGCAAATACTTCAAGGTAACACTCCTAACTTGTCGCGCAGATTCAAAAAGCAAAAAATAGTTGACTCGACTATGAATGAAAAGACCGACTTAGGCTTGCGTGCCAGCTCAAGAAACCTTAAAGAATTTAATAAATGGTTCACTAGGCTTATGGTATGATGAAAACAAAATGATAATAAGATTTTATAAATAAAATGACCTTACACTTATGGAGGCTTTTTTCTCGGTTTGCTTGTCGGAAAATAATCGACGGAATACTTGGGTAATTCAAATGGATAAGTTTGTGGCGACTAGACAGAGAGACACCATTTTGAAATACCGCAGATAAAATACATTCTTGTACTACTTAGAGTAGCTGGTTTTTTCGCAAAATATTTTGCATTGCATGTGAAATCCGAATGAAAGTTTTCGCTAACCGTTATGTAGAGGAAAACGCTTGCGGTACTTCTCTTTTAAGTTAATCGATTGTGATCATTTGGTTATAGCATTGTTGTGGTTATAATGTTTGCATTTGTATACAAAGAGCAAATACGGAGTCGAAACTCTTTGAAAGAGAACATAATGTTTGGTGATAAAAACCTTGAGGTGTGACCATTCCAGTGAAAGCTTCTGAACAATATTTTCTTGTGGCACTTGTTCTTCTACAGAACGAAGTGGTTATAACTTTCAAGTCTGATGATAAAGCCCTACTTTACCACCATTCAATTGAAAGCTACTAAAAATCATTATCACTTTAAAGGAAATTGTGGCGCATTTAGCGGGTTATAGTGGAGATTTCGGAAGGCTAAAATGCTCGCATAGTCACATAATTGTTCAGATTGTTTTGTTTTTCATTCTTCAGTTTTTATTTTCTCAATGCCCTCCAAAGTTATGATAATAGCACAACTGTTTATGTTCTTGGGTATGGAAATGTTTTGACCCTTCTCAGCTTGAATCGCGAGGAGAGGACTAAATGACTCTAGGTCGAGCCCAAAACATATTTATGCGCGCGAACATGAACTCTGTTCTTTCAGTAATTTCATTTAGTATTGTCTTCAAGATGGTTCTAATGAGGTATGAATTCGTTAATAAAAACCCAAGCGTGTGACCATTCCAATGAAAGCTTATCATGCAGTAAGTTTATTTTGCTACGCTTAACGGTTCCAACTTTGTATAAGTCAGCACCAACTGAGATGTAGTTGAGAGCTACAGAATCAGAACTTCAGTATAATTACCTTGAATCACTAGTCACAATTTTTCCCTGGTGTAACTGAAGAGTTGCACTGAAAGAAAGTATCATAAATACTTACGTTTCAGAGCGTCAGAGTCTCCTTTTCCTGCACTATCTTGCTCTGTTTTATCAGACTTGCTGTGGTAATCTGTGATGATGAGGATTGAAAGATTTCGTTAGTGAAGGATATTTATAAGCCGCTATGCAAAAATCAGTTGACTTATAGCTCACGAAATTAAGCCCGTTCACTTTTGCGGAAATTACCGGCGCAAGTTGCACAAACTTAGGGCCGAATACTAACCACAAATGTGAGAATTATTTTTTTTTACAAAGAGATAATCCACAACTCGCAAAACTATGAAATATTTGTATCCAGGATAAGGAATTCACTGCTGCAGACGTTTTTCAGGGAGCACACGAGTTTTAGAGTCCACACTGAGAATAGAGATGTCAAAGATAGCAATCTTTATCATGATATTCCTACTCGAAATCACTGTGGTCGGCTTGCTATTATTCCGTCGAGATGAAGATAAATACACAGCATTCCTTCATCTGGTTATCTTTCGCGCGAATCGTTTTGACTGTAGATTGAAATAACACGAACCATCAACTGAAAATTGACTTACAGTGCGGGAAATCCTGGACACCGCTTCGTTTAAAAGATAAAGGAGCAAAAACAGCCATACGGAGACATCAATAAACTCGCCACCGAATACAAGCCGACGTTGTGCTCAGTTCCGCGAAAAGAATACCGTCCGAGATGTAACGTAACCTGATCTTATAAACGATTCGGAGAATTTAGGATTCGCAATTGATTGTTACTCATGGATCACGAAGTAGCCAGTGCGTGGGCTGATTATTGGCGGATACGCCAAATGACACAAAATGTTGCCATAAAAAGATTTAGAAGGTACTCGATTCGAGATTTGCCCAGCCTAAGTTTCCTTTCTGAACTTCCGATCCAATTGTAGCAAGAAACGTGTTATGTACACGTTTAAAGTTGCGCGCCCGTCTCATTTCAGCGCGCCGCACCGCAGGTAGGGAAATAAAATCCCAGATTCCCGTTTGGGACGCATGGGTTGGAATTTCGCAGAATTTCCCATGCTAAAATCACTAGCATTGTTAAACCAATAAACCTAACACTATGACATTATGAAATCATCTGAGAAGGATTCTACACGACCACCAAACTGCTGAGTGATAAAACAACTGCAATAACTTTGACAGACATACGCCATCACTCCGCGCAGTCCGGCGGTGGAAACCAAACCCAAGACACAAATCAGGAAGGAATTGCTTAACGAATATCCTGTAAAAGTTTCAATGAATCAGCTATTTCTTTTCTAATGGCTTCCTGGGTTGTATTTTTTTCGCGCAAAATATCACCAGCGCGCCGTATCTATTACCAAATAGAAACAGAAGAAATTCAGTACTCGACCTGTGGCGCCCAGTAAATCCCAAATCAGTGTTCGCGTTCTCGTGGTATCCAGTTTTTAGGGCTTAAAACACCGCTGCGAAGGCGTTGACATGAGCTTCACCTCCGAAATAAGCTCAAGGAAGGCCAAGCAAACAAAAGAATTACGGCCTAAGCGAATGATCTCACCGTGTTTGTAAATGGTCCGCTCCATGCGAAGCCATGGCGCGCTAGAACATCACAATAGCACAATTGATTGTCTTTGAAACCTAACGCCAACAAAATAAAGACTCGGAAAATTAACGCGCGGGAGATTATCTCGCTCCTCAAGCGAATGAAACGACGAGTCACGCGAAAACAAACGATAAGAAGCGCGGACACAGACGAAGAATCAAGAAAAATTAGAAAGTGAAACATGATAGACAATTGACAAAAACGGTAGGTTGTACCTAGTGCGCTAGTTGTACAATCCAAATTGGAAGTGTCGGTGAAGAAATAACATCGTTAATCAATCGCCGTTTGACAGACACCGGTTGGCTCTGATCGACTCCGTCAAAAACTCAGCGGAAAGCATGGAACAACAATCTAAGATATGCTCACATCAATGAGTTAAGAGATAACGGCTTAAACACTCTATCACAAGGTGTTAAACTGGCAGATAGGTCACAATCACGGAAAAAATGATCTGGAGTTACGCTGTACGAAGTTTTCTCGAAAAACAAGCTAACAATTTCAAAGGTAAAAAGTCGAGGCCTCGGGTAATAACATCACTATGAAAATTTTTGAGAACGCAACGAGGATGTCTGAATGTTTGTAAACAGAATATCAACCTTATTACACTTTGATGAAAAACAGCAAAAGAGAAGTCGGGAATATAAAAGAAAACTGAAGTACTCATCGCAGCCCACTAAATTAACTCCACACCAATGAGACATTTAATCTTCGAGGCGTGCGCACCAATTACAAACATTTCCTGTTGTCACAGAAGACAAAATTCTGCAAATATTTTTCCCGTGGACTGTTTAGTTTAACAAGAGCCAGACAAATTGATAAACCAAAGTTAGAGGACAAACGTGATAAAATTAGAACGTTAAGTACATTTTTCTCTAAATTTAGGATTTCACGAGGCTGTAGAGGGGGATACGAATATGTTGTGATTGTAAAACGAGTGGGAACTGTAAAAACAAGTAATATTGGTCTCAAACTTGTGTATCGAGTTGCAAATAAACAGAGATATATAAAAAATAAAGTCGCCACCCAAACAGTTTCCACTAAAAACCACATTTTCTATAACTACAAATATCGTTAAACAAGATTATAAAATCCGACGATTTTTCTTTCGTTGCTTTAGAATTAAAATTGATGTGAACGAAAGCGAAGGCGAGGAAATGAAAGCAACCTACAATACAGTACAGTACAATCGACGGAAATAGAGAAGCAGAGATTATGAATCTTTCCATTCTCTTTTGAAAAAGATCTTTAAAAACGAAAAGGCATTGAGTTTCAGGAAAGCAAATGCAATCCGTAGGCCCTAAGCTGGTGTTTACACAGCCTTATTGTCGTGACTTCAAATTGGATTTAGCTGCAAACAGACGATGACGAAAATGCTGACACATCTGAAATTGTTCCTGTTTTGCTTCATCTAAGAATGTCTGTGTTCTTTGTCAGGATGAGATAATAAATACTGATATACATTTCGTTCACCCGTGTTGCGGCAAGACAAGATAATTTAGTTAATTTGCTAAAAATGTTACACTATCTTAAACAATAATTAACCTTTTTCTGAAGAAACTGGCCGTTGCTTTCCGAGGAAACTACAAACATCACCTCAATGGCGAACTTAGGGTTGGTGAAAGGTCATGTGACATTTTTTCGATGTGTATTGCATTTTTATTAAAAAAAAAAATTTATTGGAACATGAAAATCCGTGACAAAATCAAATTGTTTCCAGAAAAAATAAACCAACCATCGAAACGAAAAAAAGTGACTTTCAAAAACAGGAAACAGTAAGAACATCAGTTCGTACAACACTTGCCTCTAATATTGAGCTCACTAACCTACCCTTTCCCTTGAGCGAAATGGAGCTATACTGAGATGTCTGTTGAAATAGTTTTTCCGAATTTTGCTACTTCAGATTATCTGATCATCATGAAGAGTTATTTTGGCAGCGGGGACCCGATTTGTCGGCTCAATAAAAAGTGCCCGTTATTTTGGATGCAACCGTGTTTGACATGACTTATGAAGGAAGTTGTACGAAAGAGCCCGGGGAGATATCGATCGATCAAAGCTTTCGTCGGCATCAACCTTCGTTAGTCATGGCGTTTTGATCCGACAGCTATTACAAGCTTGGTACTTCGCTCTAAAACGGAGAGGAAACAGAACCACAGCGCCCACAGTAAACGTAGGATTTGAAATTTCCCTCATGTGTCCCGTGGGTCAGCAGAATCGTCTTATCATCCGTATTTGGGTTTCATCCAGAGACTTAAAAATTAAGAGAGCGATCTGATGCATGAAAGTATTACTTGGTGACTTTCATTTGAAAAGTCACAAATAAAAGGCTTATTCGAAAGATTTTGAGAAGCCAAAATTACTAGAACTGTGCCGCTAAAATGTCCTTATACAAGCAGTTTTCATTTCAACATTTTGATCATCACACTTAGGTAAAACAAGTTCTCTTGCACTTCGTTAGAGCGCATTTCCATTACGCGTTACAAAACCAAAACCAAAGCACGTGTAATCATAAAGCCAATCAAAAGAAAGGAAAATACCATTTAAAGCCAATGAGAACTCAAAGTAAAAGCAACCAAACTGCCTGAAGCGTGGGAAAACGCGGGCGTCCAAGTCCTGGTTGGCTTTAAATGGCATCTGATTTGTTCAGAGAGTGGCGCAAGTTTTCTGGACCAATCACAGAGCGAAGTGAAGCAAAATCAAAGCAATCCTGGATTGCTTTGAAAATTGCTCTAATCACGCAAAGATTACTTTCAGAAATTAAACCTGTATTACACAAATACTTTGAAGTTCTTGAACAAAAATCAAGTTCCTAGAAACTCTCAGTTCTTTCAAACTGAGTCCTTTCGCAAGTAAAGCTTTGCAATGTAAATAAACATCATGACTGTAAATTAACTCGCGCTGCTACATAGAATATATTTAAAAAGCAATGAACGAAACAAAACCAAGTTGTACAACACAATTAAAAGTAAAGAGTTTGTTGTTTCAACTAGGTGGTTACACTCTAAAATGGGTCGATTTCGAACTCTGCAGGGAGCCTCTAGGGCATGCGCCGACACACTGAATTTCGTATAACAGCGAGATCCTGAGAAGGTTCCAAAATTTGCATGTTACAGATGAGGTTTTCAGGTCAATAGCATCTTATAATTATGTACTTGAAGTTGATTGAGGTTATCGAGGTAATTACGTTTTACCTCCCTTGTTAGGCGTGAGACTGCTACATTTTCGACAATTAAAAACAACTAAAACGTTAGATTTAGTACCTTCTATTTTCCTTTAAGAACACTCGAGAAACAGGAAAATTGAAAGCGCAGATGCATCGACACTCTTTTCGATTGTGAAAAAACATAGTAGTTTTTCAGCTCGCACATCGTTGTTGAAAGGTGACTAACTACTCCGATAAAATTGAAACTTCACTTTCTTACTTGTCGATTAAAAGCGAAACTTGATAGCAAAGCACACTCAATAGAAATAAATGAAAATTCTGTCTTACCAGTAAGCTGACT